TTTTTTTTTTTTTTTAATGAACACATAAATATTATTGTTCTCCATTATTGAGTTGAGTGTGTAAAGATATCTTTTCTTAGTTTGTTACACCTTTTGGCCCCCTATGAATTCAGTAGCCTTTCATAGAATCTTTAAAATGCTTCAAACAAATTCCTCCTTTTTCCCATTTATTCACTTCATTCTAACATTATGATTCTCAAAGTGAAATATTCCCCAATGAAAAAAAAAAAAAAAGATAAAAGCAAGGAGATATAATCCACTGGACCTTTCTTTTTGTGCTCCCAAAATATTACAGTTCCTTCTTAACTAGCTATTTTATTTACTACTCAAGGAGAGGCAGAACTCCGCCTATGTTGTCTCGACATAGCAGGTCTCAAGCCCTGGTAAAGGAGGAAAGTTGTGATAGGCTTGGCGAGCCAACGTAAAAACCTAGCCGTTCTATGAAGACTCAAGGAGAGGCAGCACCTTTGAAGATGAGAAAATTGAGGGTCTCAAGTGTAAAATATATGAAACTCCCTTTTTTGTGTGTGAAAAAACACCCAAAGTTGGACCCCACCACACATTGCCATCCATTCCCATACTTTTTGTCAAAATCCTGTCAATCCCAAATACATAAATAAATTCAATGCATCTTTTATGCAAGTATCTAATAAGGGGGCTGCAATGAAGAATCCAAAAATAATTGCAGAAGCTACCCTGGGGTTAAGTCTATTTACAGAAAGCTCCATTTTACTAAAAATGGTGATCTCATTATTGCCCATTCTAGCAAAACCAGCCATTGTTACACATTGGTCAAATTTATAAGCACCTCCCTGAAAAGTTTGGACTTTGTAAAATGGGCAGTTAAATTTCAAGAGATATCTCTGCAATTACACTAAATCTAGGGGCAGCCCTTGCAATTAACCCATAAAAACAGAGTCTTGAGACTTTCTGATAAACCAACTAAAGAAAGACATGTGAAACCTGAAAACTGAACAACACACCAAGAAAGACAAATCTCTTTCAAAAAACAAAAAAAAAAAATAAAAATTCAAACTTGAGCACTTTCTTCATGTGGGAAGCAATGGATTTGCAGACCAAAACATCTGAAAATTTCACACACACCCTTTAAAAGTTTGGACTTTGTAAAATGGGCAGTCAAAATTCAAGAGATATCTCTGCAATTACACTAAATCTAGGGGCAGCTCTTGCAATTAACCCATAAAAAACAGAGTCTTGAGACTTACTGATAAACCAACTAAAAGAAAGACTTGTGAAAACTGAAAAATGAATGAACAAAACACTAAGAAATACAAATCTTTTACAAATAAAAAAAAAAAAATCAAACTTTAGCTCACCTTTTTGATGTGGGCAGCAATGGATTTGCAGTCCAAAACATCATATAGATCCAAAGCTTGATAAGCACAGGCCATTGCTTGGATCTGCATCTTCAGTGGCATATCTGTATCCTCTATCAAAGCCTTCCCTTCCAACATCTTTTCATACAAAACACCAATTTTTTTTTTTTAAAAAAAAGAAAAAAAAAACCCACTTTGTTAAAACTGTTCTCTTTTAAATATCAGAGCTGACAATCTTGAAAGCCCACAAATGGATTTTCTCTCTCTCTCTCTCTCTCTCTCTCTCTCTCTCTCTCTCTCTCTCTCTCTCGCTAAAGGTAAAGAACTAGAAAAAGGGCTGTTATGAAGTATAATATAATATGTGTGTAGATAGGGTTTCCTATTTCTAGTTTTCTTCCATGGCCATGGCCGAACACTGCGGTTTGGTACACCTAATAAAGTGTGTGAAGGTAGTTTAAAATGAACATATTATGTTACAAAATGAATATGTGTAAACATGTGTGTGCATGAGCGCACCTAAGGGCTTCTCTAATGCAGAGGCGGACGCAGAAATTTAGCAGTAGGGGGGCACAATATAATTCATCGGGAATGGCCGAATGGCCGTGCCAATATCAACATAATTTTCTTAGCTTTTTTTTTTGGACATTTCTTTCATCGGCAACACTCGTACATTCTTGTTTATAATATTTCTCCATAAGTAA